CTAATTCATTCATTCCTGAGAAATCTTTATGCTGATGAAGAGGTTACCTGGTCAAGTCAGTGCAGCACATGGAGGTGAGATTATACCACGTAGAGTCTAACCTCTGACTCAGGAGTAGAATGGTGTTCCCCAGCTCCACATAAACTACGTGACTCTTCTGAAATGAAAGAGATAAAATTAATGCCCTGAAGGAAAACCTTGGAGTTTAGTGTGTGTGAAGAAGACGAGTGAACCCCAAGCAGGCAACCAGTGTGTAGTCACGACAGATGCAGTTCACATGTGTTCATTAGCAAACTTTGAAATTATTTCATGTACTGGGTATTTAAAGCTATTTGTAAATGGTCAAAAACAAACATCAAGAATTTACTGCAAGAGTAAAAAGGAGTAAATGCAGTCAGAGCTGAGTTCTAAGAAATCCCATTGATGAATACGGGTGGATAAGATAACTGAATGCTGCAGGTACCTCTCAAACCACACACTCACTTATTCGTTTATAGAACATTTATGAACTATCGACTCCATGCCAGAGAATGCTTAATACAACAGGACCTTTGGCCTAAGACGTTCGTTCATTCAATCAGGCACTACAGCATCACAAGCAAAAAGTCAGCAGTTTTGATATGCTGTAGTATATCAGAGTGAGAGTATTATAGCAGAACACAGTGAAAATAAAACCACATGGAAGATCTCATGAAATTGCTACAACACTCTTCAATATTTCCTTCAAACCTAACATTCTGCAATGCAATCTCCAACATAAAGCAACCCAAGAGCACTCATTCTCAATCAACAGGTTTTTGAAGGCAGTATGTTAAAAGGCAAATGGCAGGATAATTTATCTTACTCTGGTTGCAGAGTGTAAGAAAAATAATATGAAACTATTCTTGTTTAGAAACAAAAGTGGATCATTGTCTGAGGGAGCTTTTATGTGCAAAATACATCTGATAATAAATGGAATTATCAAATGAAATTCTTTTACACTATTATATTCTGTGACCATCTGGGGAGACAGTTTTGGAGATAAGTACAGCAGAAATATTTAGAGAAAGGACAGTAAAAAGGAAAAATAGCAGACATGGTTGATTTTCTTTGATATCCTTTTATAGTATAAAAATCATGAAATCCTTGGTCCATATCACAGTGACAATGCTGAAAAAAATTTAATCACTTCATCATTATCCCCAGCAGTGCCCTGAAGCTCCAGTTCTAAGGGCAGGGCTTTCTGTCAGCCACTAACATAAAGATGTAACGCTGAGAGTTTATAGAGAACTACTTTCTTCACATGGAGTACACTTGATAATAACATTTTAATGTAATATTGACATTTCTGGTTTTTAACTCCGTTGGGCACCATCTTGATGGACGAGAAAATCACCTGTGACAGCTTCAGCATGAGTGTCTAATACCATGGCAATTTAACCTGGCTTTATCCTATGTCAGGGATATTCCGTCAGAGAACTAAAGTGTCCTTCATGTTTTACAGAAGCAAGTCATCTCTAATAACAGATGCTGCTAAAATTGTATTAAATTATTAACTGTTATTGAGTGAATATTGTAGGAAATATCCATGGTTTCTTTTCAGAGGTGCTTGGTAAATGATGAATATATATTTATTATAGATACATAATATTTTGTTTGGAATATTGATTATCCATTTGGACTGGTATATTTTGGGCAAACAATTGAGAAGTTGAGTCAAATCATGACATTTGTGATCCATGTGACATTAATGGTTAAACGAAGTATTATGCATGCTCTGGCTACTCAGAGCATAGACCATAGTGCAGTAGCATCAGAATTACATTCAACCAGTTAGAAATACAGAATCTTGGCTCCCAGCCCCAGGTCTGCAGAATACGCATATGATTTTAACGAGATCTTTAGGCGATTAAAACATTAACCAAGTCGGGGGGAATCTCAACTCTGGCTACACATTAGCATCACTTAGAGTGTTTTAAAAGTGATTCCCAGGCCTTACCCCAAACAAATGAAATGAAACTCTTTAAGGGCAGGACAAAAGCCATGGGTATTTTGCCCAATATCATGTTCACCATGATTTGCACACAGGTTTGAGAACTATGGTTTAACACAATGGCCAAACCATCAACAAATTCAGTGTGTTCTGAAAGGGCAAAAAAAGAAAAAGGAAGTCAAACCAATTACTTTGTATTTGGTACCACTCTATAAATGATTGATTTTTTTAAGTGTTAATATGTTTGCTTAACTACTGTGTAAACACAGCCTATTATATCTCAACCTGCCTGAAAGTGTACTGTATTTTAAATCAAGACCAGAAGCACCTTGCCTTCCAAATTAATTAAAAGTAGATCTTAGATGTGTTTTTTCAACTTTATTTCCTTTCGCCAACCTTGTTTTCTGAACTGACAAGTCTAACTGCCGAAGGTCAGGCACTGCACCCTTGGGTTGCCCTCCCTCTTTTCTGCTCGCTCAGCTCTCAGTTTTGAACGCCAAGCGCTCCCTTATCACTCTTGCCCAAATGCTTCTCTCCCCTGATTTGAGATGTTGCAGCTGTTTCTATCATGCACGCTCACCTTACGTTCTTGCCTTGTTCTTGCCCTATTTAGTGGAGTGAAATTACTTGGTTTTTTAAATTTCTGTATATAAACTCAAATATTAGCTATCTAGTCCAAGTTCTCATATAAGAATAAGAAAGGGGAAAATCATAGCATGGTACTTATGGTAATCGTTATAACCCCGTTTTGTAGATCCGACTGAGTTCAGAAAGGCACCGTGACAGGCTAGTAAGTTTCAGCACTAAGATATTTTTTTTTCTCAAGACTATCAGACACAAAGCACAGAGAAAGTTTGGTTTGCTTTCACTTGTGTGTGTGTGTGTTTCCAGCAGAGTGCTTTAATTACAGTTCTGGGGCAGATTAAGAATAAGAATATACTAAAACATACTGAAGCAAGATCCTTCTTAAAATTAGTGCCCACTCTTATGAGTTCTTTTTTATACTAATTGGGTTTCTTTTGTCAGAACATTATTGAAGCTTGATGGGTCAGAGCAAGGGAAAGTAATCATATATTACCTTTTACAAAATTGCTTTTTGTTACAAAAGGAATACCTGAACATTTTCTTGTAAAAAAGTGGAACATTGCAAATATGGATGAAAACTCTTGTCCAGCACCCCACACCCTCATCCTGCACTTGACACAGACTCTGTGTCTTTGTCCCCCCTCAGATATAATCATTTACATCTGTATGTATCCTTCAAGACATTTTGAATGTATTTAAGTACATATATATGACATAGTATGATCATTTTTGACATTAATATGTCAAATCCAAATAAAACTACCAAGGATACTGTGTTATCCAAAACATAGTACCCTTGGTAGTTTTATTTGTGTGTCTAATATGAAAGACCTGGGAAAGATACCTAATTCAGGGGCCGACAGAATTAGGATTCAAAGTTGTATCTCAACCCTGTGGAATAATACCCTAAAAATAAAAATTTAGGTAGAATAAATATCATGCCCTGCATGATGTGCAAGTAAGAAATGGAGAATTCTGATTTGACATTAGTTTATATGAAAAAGACATAGAGGTTTATTTATCACAGACCCAAAATTTAATAAAACTTCTAATGCTTTGAGATGTCCATAGTTCTTATCTCTGAAATAGCATTCTTTTAAATATATCTGAAATTGCTTCAGAATATACCATTTTAGAAGGAAAATACTAGATTGACAAACTGTGTCTAGTATAGTAGACTAGTAATTTTAAAATGTGGGACTTATTTTATGAGTTAGTATATTCTTTATATATTTTTTCATAAAGAGGCATGCCAAGTAAAAGAAAATTATGTTGCCTCCAGTTTTCATCGTAGCACAAAGCAGTTGTAACAGATCACACTGTATCAGCATGACAGGCACTGTCATAAGGCATGGCCATAGGACTCCCACTCAACGTGGATGTCTTCTTAAATAAGGACCTTGCCCTGCGGAGTTAATCTCAATGTAAAGCTAATTGTCTATTATGAGAACATATTTTAGTAAAAAATATTCATACTCAATCTTCTCTGCCGGAATATCTGGGATAGGGTCATGGGACGTCAGGGACTCTCGCTGCATGAAGCAGGTGCTCTCCGACGCCAGTGTTGACCCCTCTGCCTGACTTTGACCTTGATGTATGTCAAAGGCATAGATTTTGAAGAAAAAATTCTCCTAATAAAATTTAGAAGCTCATAACCCATTGATTACCTGAGAAGCATTACCAACATTGGTGAATATCTGTTTTGTATGTTATTTCAGGTACATAAGTACTGATTATGTAGGGTACAAGGAAATATGGGGTTTTTCTTTTCTAAAAGAATGCGAATATTATATTCATTTGTGAGTCTTGACCTCTTTTTAATTTTTTTCCTAAGATGAAAGGAACCTCTCACATAGGCATGTTAAATATTTTAAAAAGTGGAACCCTGACTGAAAAGGAATAAGCTCAATCAATGAACCAAGTGTATGGGTGTATTTTTAAGACTCCAGAAGATGGTTTTATTTGAATGTATCAGTCTATTCCCTGATGCCCACGATAGCACAGGAGAAGGAGATTCAAGGTCTTAACTTTATTACTGGCTTTATTCAGCACTATCAGACCAATAATAGGTGTTTATCTGCTAATGTGTGCTGCTCCAGATAGAGTAGCTCATTGTAATTCTTGCCTCCAGTTTCCCTGCCTCAAGGAAATATCTACATCTCAGATCTGTCTAATTAACCAGTATGTGAAGAATAGAGAATTGTGAGGCAGTCTTTATGTTCATTGTTCCTGGGGTTTAAAAAGCTCAATAAAGTTTCTATCTACATTTTGTTGTTTACACTGTGTAGAAAAATGGATCAAACAAGCAAAAGATTTGTGGCAACAGAGTCGGTGCCTTTGTACAATATAACACATATTGTGAATCAGAGAAATATCGTGCCACTTCTCTGAAGCTGACATTGGAATGACATTGTAATCCTGGCCATCTGTCTTCCTCTTCTAGATATCGATGAATGTGCGGTGGTGAACGGGGGCTGCCAGCAGCGCTGTATTAACACTCTGGGCACTTTCCACTGTGAGTGTGATACAGGATACAGACTCCATGCTGATGAACGCACCTGCATAAGTGAGTAAATATTAGGACCAGCTTGAAGCCGGTTTCAGTGAAAAATCAACCTGCTTCTGCAGGGGCAAATGGGAAAGGTTTTTCTATTGTAAAAATATCTGTAGAAGCTGGCAGTGTTTAAGCACGGTTCTCTCTCTTAAGATAAAAAAGATTTTTTGCTATTAAAAACTAAAAGACAAAAAAAGATGGCGAAGAAATTCTAGGAATTAACATTCACAAGCAAAATTTGAATCCCCAAGTGGGTGAAGATTTCCATAGCATATCATTCTGCCACATGCAGGGAAGTGTAAATTTGTTAGTTGTTGCTTTTCCATGACAAGGGAAGCAGAGAGCCACGCTGAAAGGGGAGTGTCAGGCCGTTACAGTCACTAGCTGCTGTGTTCTCTCATTTCAGACCGGACTCTGAAATGGACTCATGATTATAAAGGCAAAAGTTATAACTGATTATATACCAATTAGAGTTACTCAAGAATAGTTAAAATTACCCACATTAAATGAGATTACTATATATTTATTGTACATTAAAACGCTCTTAGATATTTTTATATGGTAGGATTATTACTTTATATCTTCTTTGTATGTTTTTGAATTTTATAGGTTTCTTAAAATGAGTGTGTGTTTTTAGGCACAGAATTAAAACCAACTGAATACATGTTGGAAATACTGTGCTTCCTGTATGATTTATTATGGCTTTGTTTTTGTTTTAGCAGAAATAGTATACTTAAAAGTGGTTTTTCATTGAATCATGGCCCTGAAATAGCATCAAGACAGGCACTGATTTTATCAGCTGGTCTCTTAAAAATATTTATTATATTAAAAGAGTAGCACCTTGAACAGCACAATTTAATTGCTGGCTTAATTTATTCGGGGCTTGTTAACTAGTCCATCTATTCAAAATGGCTAGGATTTTATAAGCATTCTATAATTATGAAATTTGAAATAGAAATAAGCTACCCTGACCTAGTTTCATAACATACACTCCCTCTTTCTTTAGCTGAACATGTCTTGTACGAAATGAGAGAAGGTCAGGGGACAGTTAAAGATGTCCTCCTCATAGGTCTGATTTCAATAAGAGCAAATGGAGGTCCTGAGAGGAAGAAAAGGACTTTTCCAAAGTGGAGTGAAACTCCAGATAGAAGTTGTAACCTGAAATCCAGTGAGCTCAATATTGGAAAGATTGTACCTGCAGCATGTACAAGCAGTGGGACAGGCACCATTACGTAATCCAGATACTCTCTTCTTACAGGATTTTACTGGGGTTAGCAATAGGGATCTCTTTCCCATCTCCATCCCAATATGTAAGGTCTGCAGCAAGCGACATCCTTAAATTGCCACCATCACTTCTCTCAGTTACAAATATTTAGAAGCAGCAAAATTATCAAGACATGCAATTGTGCTAATTATCAGTAAAGGTCGAGCAAGTGAATTATTGTGCCTGATACAAAAGCATTTTGCAAAGTAACCAATTTATATAAATGCATAATATCTGGTCTTTGTGATAAGGCAAAATAAATACTCTAGTAGCCAAGAAAATTATATTTACAGGTAAAATTAATTTTCTAAACCCTAACATTATTAGCTATTTCTTAGTGAAATCATGAAACTCTTTCCTTATTCCTTACCACCATTGAATTTTCCAATTTAAGTTTTAATGACATTAGGTCAAAAGTGGAGTTGGATAAGGATATTATGGCTTATCTTTTCTATTTCTACTCTTTAAGTCACAATTTCTATTGTACAAATACATTACAACATGGTAATGGCTTATTAACTGTTCCATATGGTGATCTTCTTATGCAGAATTTCAAGATAGTGTAAAATTAAATTACAGATATGGAGTGAATTAAGATTATGAAAAATGCAATCATTTTAAGGCATTTAACCTATTGAATCATTGAGTGTCATTCTACAGAATGTAGTAAACTATGAACCCATTGCTCCCCCTTCATGGAAATTTTGGTGCCTTTCTCATAGGCATATAGTGAAGAATTTTTTGTTTTCCTTGTTTTGAAAGAAGAGGCTTACTGGGAGAACTGGTTTCACACTGGTCTGTATTTTGAGTTACACTGTAGGAAGTGTCAGATATTTTTTTAACAGAAAATTAAGTTAGCTCCCTTTCCCTTCGGGAGTTTCTACCTGGCAGGCGATTGGGCATCAGAGTAGACAGAGATTTTCTCATGACCCACGACGGCAGGGCCACAAAGAGAAGATGGAGTTATGGGATTGTATGACTCTACTAGTTTGGTGTACTTCAAATTAATTGCAACCATTCCTGTCTTCCTTCTCTCTCTCTCTCTCTCTCTCTCTCTCTCTCATTTTTCTGCTCCATTCTGTCCATCAGTCATAGGGCCACACTAGTGTGACTTTTTGAATTAGAGCCTCCGGTCCCTTTTCTACTGTCTTTTAATCACAGCTACAAGGAAGTGAACTCTTGGCACCCCCAAATGCTTACAGAGTTTCAGATTATTTCATGTCAAAGATGGGTTCCCTCTCTAAGGGCTGTGCATTTGTGATGATATATGGCCAGCAGGTACCAGTTAGCCTCTGCCAGAATGATGAAGTTCCACAAAGTGGTTTTAGAGAACATGTCCTTAACAGCTGTATTTGGAAGCTGGAAGTGTGACAGTCCCTGGCCCGCTGTCACTTCTCCAGCAAGGCAGCATCAGGAAAGCCAGTCTGAGGGGGTCGCACATGTGAGGAGGATCACAGCCAGGGAAACCCACTGCACCTAGCTGGTGGCGAGGCACAGACACAGCATGGGAAATTGTGGGCTTCTTGCCAGATTTTCTTTGGTATTGGTGGTCTCCATGACCACAGCTGTTGCCAAACAATTAATAAACTTTTAAATTTCCCTTAATTGGAAACAAACAGCTTCAAAATTGGAAACTAGCAATCACCATAAAGACAGAGATGTTTATGTTCCTACTGGCCCACCATTAAATCTTGTCCATGTGGACTAGGGACAGAGGCACAGTGGAGTCCAAGTTGGTGTGTGGCCTTCAGTTTAAGCTCTGAAACCACTTAATTTATCCCTACACTCCAGATGCCACCTGTGTAAATTATAGAAATTGGGAAAACGACCTTAAAGTTATTGCATCTCCAAAGTATAATAATTTTATTGTTTGTGTAATTATTAATTTTTTGTAGATCACCTGTAATTTTTATACAACCTTGGATTTTGGGTAATAATTATTTTAAAAGGAATTTAGAATTTAGAAAGTCCAAACATAAAACAGTGTAAGAGTTTTATATCCAGTTTAACAGAAAGGAATATGTAACTTCAGTGTTTTTATTGAAAAGAAGTACACTGTGGTGCTTTTGTAAAAAATATTGTTTTCTATGTTAAAGAACCATATCTGGGAAAAGTCCAAGGAGAATAATGCAGTCCAATCTCTCTTCTTAGCGATAAGAAGTCTGAGAGCTAAAGACCTCAAGTAAGTTTTACTTTGAAAGAGAAAAGTAGTTTTCAGGAAAAACTGGCTAATTTCAATCCTGATCAAATGTTTTAAAATAATTTTTAATAAGTATCTTTAAAAAACTAAGAAAAATCATAAAGTTACTGTGAAATGATATTCTTACATTCTATTTTGGATATATCCCTGAGAGTTAAAACAACATATTTTAATAGTTATTTTAAATATTACCAGCTTGTAAACACAAATTTACCACTTTTTTTCTACATTTCTATTATGTGCTCCCACCATCATGATGGCTCTCCATTTTCCAAGTAAGCTATGTTTTTTTCCAATTTTACACTTTACTCTTAACATAGATTATCTCCCACCCCCAAGTCTTCATCTGACAAAACTCTACTTACCATGTTCCATAGTGAATATCAATTGTCCTCTTAAGTCTGCTCTGGTTACCCTAGCCAAGGGCATTTCATTCTCTCTCTCTCTCTGTCTCTCTCATAATACCATTTAATTTTATGTTGCCCTAATGATACATATAATATACAGTTTTATATGTATGCAATTGGACTTCAGACCCAATGAAAGTCACTCATAGCCTTCTAATTATGAGCTTCATATGGAGTGTTTTCCTTACCTTTTCTGATGGTCTCTGACACGGTAGCCACTCATTTTATATTTCTTCCTCCTGTCTTCCTGACAACACAAGTTCCGCCTTTAACCACAGCCTCTCTGTACCAGGGTCTGACTTTCAATCGTCTTCTGTCCTTGTCCCCCCACCCTACTCCTGTCCTCCCCTGAGACCCAATGTAATCGTATTTGTACTTGGGGCTTTTAGGAGATAATCAGGTTTAAATGAGCTCTTGAGGGTGGAGCCCTCATACTGGATTAGTGCCTTATACGGAGAAATACCAGGGAGCTTGCTCTCTCCGCCAGGTGACCTTGTGAGGGTGAAGTGAGAAGGGGACTGTCTGTCTGAAGTTAGGAAGAGCTCTCTTACCAGAAACCAAACTTGGATGAAATCTTGAGCTTGAAATATCTTACCTCCAGAACTGTGAGAGAATAAATATCTGTTGACTAAGCCTCCTAGTCTATTTTTTTTTTGCAGGGGAGGGGGGAGGTGGTAAAAGTAATTATTTATCTATTATACCCACCATCACTAGGTTGTGGAGACAGACTTTTCTCAAGCAGTTTTAAAGAGTGTTTATGTGGTTCAGTGTTTATTCGACAAGTGCTAATACAACTTTTTAAAATTTGTATATCTTCGTTGTTTTTTTTTACTTCATAAACTTTTATTTTGAAAGATTATGGGTTTACAGGAAGTTACAAAGGTAGTACAGATAAGTCCTTTGTACTCTTCACCCAGTTTCCCTCAGTAGTTTTATTTTAATACAATTTTACCAGCTTCAGATATAACTTATGTTCCATTGACTGCTATAAGTTTCAACATAGACATACACTGTATTTTTTGTACTATAAGACACACCCCCTTCCCATATTTGGGATAAACAATGGTTGTTAATGCTGCTGTTGAGTTCTGTTTACATTTACATTGGTGAAATATTATGTTATTTGTGTCATTAAATATTT